GCTCGATATTTGAGGCCCGGTAGCACCAAGCTATACTTAATTATTATGTGTGTTATTTCAAAATATTTTAGAAATGTATTTGTTTAATAAATTAAATTAAAAATTCTTGAATTGGACTTAATAATTATGTATGGCCTTCCAAGCTCGATATTTGAGGCCCGGTCGCACCAAGTTATCCTTAATTATTATGCGTGTGAATTTCAGTTACCGATGGAATTTTGTTAGATTAAAGAATTAAATTAAAAATTATTGAATTGGACTGAATAATTATGTATGGGTTCCCAGGCTCGATAATTGACCCCCGGTAGCACCAACTTATCCTTAATTATTATGCGTGTCAATTTCAGCATTTTTACAATTTTGTTAATTTAATAAATTAAATAATTAATTATTGAATTGGACTAATAATTATCTATGAGTTCCGGGCTCGATATTTGAGTTATTTGACAACATATATTAATTTGTTACTTTTGTAAGTTTATTTTATAAATTAAATAATTAATTTTGTAAAGTATTATTGGATAGAGTTTGCAGTTACTACATACTTAAGGCTTTATATTTTACTAAGCTAAAAGGCTCTATATTTTGCACTCCACGCTAAAAGGCTCTATATTTTACTACGCTACAAGACTCTATATTTTACTACACTAAAAGGCTCTTTATCTTACTACGCTAAAAGGTCACTATTACATATAAAAACAACAAACATAACATACAAATATGAACAACAAACTAAATAAATAACATTTATTTATTGTTTAACCAAATAAAAACATAACATTAACAATACAAATTATTTATCAAATTTTAATATTTTTTTGTCCCAAAGCTAATAAATCAATCGGGTATAAATAAGATACAAATTTAAATACAAACATAACACAAATTAACATGGAAACACATTAAACAATACAAATATGCATGTACTATACGAGTGTCGACATAAACAAAATCGAAATACCTCGATTTAAGTTTTTTAAATTTGATTGAAATCGAATTTTTACACCCAAAAGAAGGAATCCAAAGCTTGTCTTGTGTGTGGGACCTACACTCTTTGCTTTTTAGAAGATGGGTGGGGCCCAAAAAATATTTTTTTTTAATTAGACGGGGGGGGGGGGGTAACCAGTAGAGATTGTTTTTTAATGGGGGCAGGCAGCGAATTGTGTTGGGGAAGAAGAAGGAGGGTTTATTTTATTAAGGGCAATTCGCAGTACTATAATGCGAATTGCTTATTCGCAGTATAGTACTGCGAATTGCTGGGCCCAAAAATCGGAGTGTCTCAATTCGCAGTACTCTACTGCGCATTATTTAAATTTTTTTTTTTTTACTAATTCGCAATACTGTACTGCGAATAACTTTAACGGCAAGAGCAATCGGACCTGTGAAAGTCACATCTTTGACTTATATACACGGGCTTCGGAGAGGATTTTTTAATCAGAATCGATTGATAAGGTGGAATTGAAAACTTTGGAGCACATCCTTACCTACATCGAACTCTATGTGTTAAGCATATAGCTCCGTTAAGGTATTCGCAGTATAGTACTGCGAATTAGGTATTTAGGTAACTTTTTTTTTTTAGTAGTAAAAACGTATTTTTTGTTCCAAAAAAATATTAGAAAAGTTTCGGACCGGTCTTGCGAACACCTTCTTTGTATTAGGCATGTAGTAGTATAGAATATACTTGGTGCATCTTTTCTTTACAGAATACTACTAAAGTTCCAAAACTACATACTAGTTAAATCCGTCGAAAGAATAAACTTTATAGTTTTTTGTGCAATGTCCCATATTAGCTCAACAAGAACCAAGTCAAAAAATGTATAACATTAGTAGTAACTTTCTGCTAATTCTTCCTTTTCAATTCCACTAGTAAATATGATCTTACACAATCATATTTTACAAACAGGCCAAGAAAAGTTGAAAAAAAGGAAAGCATCTTTCCCATAGTGACATTTCTTTAGCAAATTAAAGATAAAGAAAGAGGAAGAATCATCATTCATCTTTAGAATACAGAACCGAATCAACCTTAATTAGTTATATATAGATTAATTATATAACCAAAACCAACAACTAATTTACAGTTGAAGCGTCAAATCAGATACCATTCATCTACCTATACTCTGCAATATTCCAGTCAGAAAATGGAACGACAGAGAGGACAAGTACTATGTTGATTATCGAACCACTTGCCCAAACACCTCGTATGAAAGAAATGCTTACACGACAACTCACTCACCTTTTCGTCATCTTTAAACTTACTTAAACACACACAACACTCCATTGTCGTCTCTCTGCCGCCGCCGCCGCCGCCGCCGCCGCTTTTCTCAGCTTCACACCTATTCTTACACAAAGACTCGTACCTAGTAATTGACACTCTTCTTTCTCTTGAGCCGCTGCTACTACTGCTTTCATTAGAAACTGATGTTTCTTCTTCTTGCGAATTGGATTGATCCCAAGTAGCACCCACCATTTGAAGCATTGATTTCAACATGTTCTTGATTAAGGCAGCTGATAACACTGTGTTCATTACCAATACCGGTAGCATTCCTTCAGCTGGACTGGGAAAACTCGAAAGCCCCATTTGTTATTTCACTGTTTCTTAATATGAGTAGCTGAAATCTTGGGTTTTTGTGAAGAGAGTTGAGAGGAAAAGGTGAGAGAAGGAACGGAGTCAATTCGCGCATACCATGTGTTTGATATTTGGCCAAATCAACTTGTGAAGACCGGTACCAAATAAATATGGAATTGCGTGGTCCTAACCACGAATGTGTTTGACCTGGGGTTAAGATCTTAACCAAATATTAGGTCAGCAAGCTAGACACGTCGCGACACGTGTACGATTCCCGTGTGGGGATAGTGATTTGATTAAGAATTGGCTTAAATTTTGGGCCCTATAGGGGTGTAAGTTGAGTGTTATTAGAGAAGGAAAAAATCTCACTTTATACCTATTAAGCTCAAACTATTTACCTTTTAATATACATGCTCAAACTATTTATCCTGCCTACCCAGTCGGCCCAATTTATTTACTCGACCCCCATATTTCACGCGGCCCAATCTACCCATCTCTTCCTTATCTTCGATCCAGCCCATCTATTTCACCCGTCCCAAGCTTCCCGCGCTTTTCTTCGTTCTTTAACAGTTAACAAGTAGAGTAGAGTACAGTTTCCAAATCTCCATAGCCAACCGATGAGAACGCAAAATTGAAACACATTCGAGTTTTAAATTTTTTTTTCCGATTCCGTTCTATCTCTTCGTCTAGTACCTAATTTTGGGTGACATTTTTGCTTTGGGTGAAATTTTTGCTTCTGAAAGTACATTTTAGTGAAAGTGGGTTTTCAAAATCATAGGATTTTTGTGTTTTCCTTTGTACTTTTGTGAATCAATGTCTATGGGTTGTTGTTTTCTCTATGGGTCGGAAGCATTGTGCGCGTAGATGGTGGCGCCGTGGACAATATCATTCTTCAACACAAATAGCTGCTGAATCCGTTGCCTCAGCCATGTCTGTTCCTAGTTTTTCCTTATTTTCTGATTCTCAGTCTCCATTTAGTCGTAACCCTTGCAGTAGTCATGTTGAAAACACAACTGAAAATGTAGAATTAGAGGGTGGAAAAGGCAACAATATTAATGCTTCGTCAGTCGATGAAACTCCCTACCTGTCATTACCCGGCACAAATTCCGAACCAGTCATAGGAGGTGTTCCTGCGACTGATAAGGGAAAAGGTAAAGTTGTTGAGGATTATGAGTTAGGGGGAAGCCGGCGTGAATCCGTGCCTAAAACAGAGACTCAACCAGTAGATGTTGATTGTAGCGATGATTCTCAGTTAAAGAAGAAAAAAATTGGTGTCGCACCCAAGAAGGTAATTTTCTTACAATTATGATCTTTGAGATTTTTAATGTATAGTACATTGTTATTTTTTGATTTCCTGTTATGCTTTTGTACTATATTATAGTTATAGTCAGTTGTGTTAATTTTAAGTGAATTGTATTTCTTCAAGTTCATTCTGTACATTTAAGAGAACTGTTGTAAATTTATTACGATTTCCATTTATCTGTTTATTCCAGCTATCCGTTTCATCAATGTTCAGTGCGACGTAATAGTGTTTATAGCTGTCAAAATCCATATAGACAGATTAAATTAATGTTCTGCTTGCGGTTTAAAAAGGGTCACTGATTCAGTAGCTGTTGTAGTCAACCATATTTATTGAAGCCAGAGCTGCTCTGTGTGATTTCTGATTTTCAGCTTTGCATTAGATGGTTTTGTACATGATTTAGTATTTAGCCAGTTGACAGTGGTGGAGAGAAGCATGGAAGGAATGGGACCGTGTAAGTTAGGAGTGCAGAATGAGCTTTTCTTTATAGGTGGCATTGTGTGGATGGGGTCAATGGGCGAGAAGCGCTGGTACTGTAGCATAAGTTCCTTGTCGAATATTAGCTATCTTGTAGTGCAATTTGATGTGAGCTTATGCTATTCTTTTACTTCCTTAGTAATCTCAAGAATATGCAAGATGAAAAGTATTTTGCTACTATCCTCTAAAATATGTATTTGATAGAATAGTTTCCGGATACTGTAGATTTAATAACTAAGTTTCTTTTGGCTTTCCCTCCCTAGTAATATTGAATATGCATCTTCAAATGAAACAACTTAAAGTAAGTTTATGCATTGATGGTCACTTGGTATTGCTGCAAATTGTTCCCACACTATTTTCCTTTTGTTTCTTTATAAGTAAAATTTCTTGTCTCCATGTTCAAGACTATTGGACACAGAATTCATTTAAATGATAGTTCTAACCTTTTGGACATGTGTTGGTGGATGCGAAAAACCTGTTTGATGGTGTTCATTCTTTGCACTCTTATCTCCCTGCATTTATGTTCTTTATCCGATTGTTGCGTAACTGGTGTTTTGTTGCAGTGGCAATGGCACGCATGATGTTCCCATAGAAGTCTTGTGCCTATAGACATAGTGTATGTGTGTTATGTGATAGTTTTTATAGTTATATACAGTTGTCGGAACAACCCGTACAACTATTTACCCTGTTAGTATATCTATATACTATCATATGCTTCTGGATCCTTTTTTAGCTGTCTTCGCTATTTATTTTTCCTTTAATAATAGTAGTATCGTACAGTATCTTGAAAATACTTTATAGCTGCATTCCTTTTTGCTTTTTCTCTTTATTCCTATCTGTTATGTAATAGTAGTATAGTCATTTGTAGTTGCCGGAAATTAGTCAGTAGAATTGTATACCCTGCTGGTATAGTTATATGTCGTGTTGGTATCGTATGGTAGTTGTAATATTTTTAGTTGGTTTAGTTGCATTTTAAGTGAATTCTATTTCTGAAATTATTTTATATGAACATGTTTTGCAGTGTTGGGATTTCCTTGTACCTATGGACTTAGATTATAAACCAAAGGTTGATCGGGATACCAACTGCCATGTTATTCATCAATTGAAAGCGAATTTATCAAAGAGGCAACTTCGACTGTGTAAGAAAACATGCTTTGGCTATTTTTTGGATCTGCCACCAGTTATTGTACAAATTCGGGTTATGCACCATTTGCTTATTAGAGAAGTACATCATAAGGTGAAAAATGAGATGCAGTTTGTAGTGAATGATTCTAGGTTGCGCTTTGGCTTGGGTGAATTTGCACTTGTTACTGGGTTGAAATGTAAGGGTGATACAAGTATAGAGAGCATAGCAGAGAATAGGTTGATTTCAAAATATTTTGGGACTGCATCCGTGACATTTGCCCAACTAGCAGACTGTTTTAAGAAGAAGAAATGGGAAACAGATGATGATGCGTTGAAGATAGCAGTTCTTTATTTTGTGAATAGCTTCTTACTTTCTCAACTCAAAACAAAAGTTATTTCACGGCCTTACATTGACTTGGTTGAGTGCGGTGATTTTAATAATTATCCCTGGGGTATAGATGTTTATAAAGCTACAATTGACTCGTGTTCCAACAAGTTTCAAGATAAGCCTTCTTTTTATAGACTCGGTGGCTTCCCGTTGGCTTTACAGACTTGGTTGTATGGATGCTGCCCAAGTTTGGATGGTCACTTTGCTGATCATCTTGGAAACAAACTTCCACAAATTTTGAATTGGTAGTCATGGGTCAAATACCGAATGAGCGAGTTGTTTTGCGAATGTGTAGCTTGCAACGCGAGCAGGTAATTTTCTCATAGTTTTATTGCCTCTCTTAATGTTTTGGTACAGTAGTTTAGTCACAGTTGTAGCAATATCCCAGTTCAGTGATATACTCTGTTGGTATACATGTATACTATATTGGTATCATGTATACTATATCCCAGTTCAGTGATATACTCTATTGGTATACATGTATACTATATCGGTATCATATGTTAATAGGGATCTTTTATCTTTCCATACTTTATTATCATTTCTATTTCTAACTAGTGTGCTTAATAATTGCAGCTAAAGAACATCACCCCAACTGATGATGAGAAGCAACTATTTGATGTGCGTGGTCTAAGCTTTGAAATTGAAGTTGAGTGCACTGACAGTCAGCCCGATAGCTTTCAGGTTTTTGGCACTCAATTACCAAAGACACAAAGTATGCATGAAAGTACTGGAAGTGATTCCCAACCTACCAATGTTGAGGTAATGAAGGAGTTACAAGCTTTGAAGCTTTTTGTAGAGAACAAGTTTGAGGAGGTGCTTGCAGCTATTGGTAGGCAGTCAATGAAACCAGAGGGAAATTCAGCGGTATTGATCTTTTATATAATATAATGCTATAGTATATTGTTCAAAGATGCAATATATGCTTATAGGATACTATTCCATTCTTTACTTTTAGTGCACATAGTATTCTTGTAATATACATAATACTAAAATTGTTAGTTTCTCATTTTCAGCATAAGCAACAGGATAATGATCCTGACTTTCGTGAGATGCATAATGATTATGACCAGTTTGAAAGTGGCCACGTTGGGAATGATCCTGTAGTTATTGGAGATAGCACGCCCAAAGCACCTTCTAGTATGTAAATCACAGATTTGATTGATTTTTTTTTTGCTGTTGTTTTTTGAAAATAGTACTCTTGCTTATACTTTTATATGTTTAGTATCTGGTTTTGGTGGGGTTGGTCAAGATGGAGGTGCCACTGGTGTCAATGTGAAGAACGTCACAGCAAGTGATGGCGTAGTTAATGATGATTTGCGTTCTGGTAAAATGTTGTATATGTAATTTTTTAATTCTTTTTAATTATTTATTTAACTCTACGTATTTGTGCATTGACTAACCTTTTTTTAAAAAACTTTTTTCAGACCCCTTCGTAAATGAGCATGATTTTGGCTTGGATTCTAACTTTGAACTGTCTGCATCTGCAATTGATCAAATCACCGCCATTACACAACAAGCAACATATGAGCAGTCATCTCATGATGTTAAAAAGTTGGGTCCTGCTCCGCTGCCATCAGGAATCCCTGTACAGACACGAGCAGATGTTGTTATTGAGTCTAATACTGCTCCACAGGGTACGATGTTGATGTTTCTAATTCTGTAGTTAGTATGTAAATGATAGGTTCTTGATAGTTTTTTATTTTTTATTTAAGTAGTTATGCTGATAATGCTTTTATGTGTTCAACATGTCGGGTTGATGGTGTTGGTCAAGTGGATGTTGGTGGCAGTAATGTGAATTTGCCTTCTTGTAATGTCTTCTATATATAACTTTTCATTCTTTTTTTCTAAATTTCTTAACTTTGTATATTTATTTATTCACTAGCATTTTCTAATTTAAGCTCCATGTCGACACGGGGGTGATCTTCACTTGGATTCTGATTTTGAATATATTGATTCTCAACTTTCTAATTGCTGCCATTACACAAGGAGGGAGATGTAATGTAAATCAATCAGGAAATGAACTGACAACTCGTGCTGTAAATAAGTCTAAACCTGATCAGTCGGTATCAAGAACTATTATCCAGATACAAACAGACGTTGAAACTACTCCTGCAGTTTTCACACGGAGAAGGCGCCCCGCAGCTGTAAAACAGTCGCCGTATAGGAATTGACTGGCAATCTGGTGTTAGTGCAGTTGGGGGATCCTCGAAGGTCATCAAAGGAAGATTTCCATTTGTAAATGACATTTCAGAGACTGGTGATTTTAAGCTTACGACTGCATTCTCAAACTTTGTTGAAGCAAACATGCAATTGGGAGAGTGCGTATTCGTTTCCATGTACTTTTGTTTTCATTTTTTCTTAACGTTTGTTGTTATATTTCTTATCCATATCTTCTTTTATATGAAATAGGGAAGTGTATTTACCTGGTGATCAAAAGCTAGAGCCTTGTTTTGACTTTGAAGTTGAACAGATTGATGATAAGACGTTTTTCCATACCTTAAACTATTTTGGCAGGCCGCTCTCTAGTTCGGTATGTGTACTGCTTTTTATTTTTGTTGTTGTAGTAGTTCATTCATATTGTTAGTGCTAGTCATGTTTACTTCCTCTCTTTTTTGCAGCACTTGAATATTATATTCTGCTATCTTAGGAAGAAGGCGAAATATGGAATTAATATGCCAATCAAAGTCACAACTACAGATACTCTTTTTAATAATATCATTCAAAGGGTTTTCACAGAATTTGTTAAAGGTGGGAAACAAGATCATTTGATTGATAGATCAGACAATACCATGCAGTACATGAAAGGATTTAGGATGCATTGCAACACTCCATGGTACCAGGTTGATCATGTCCTTTTTCCAATTAATTTGGCAGAAAGTTGGCATTGGATATTGGGGTGTGTGTCATTCCACAAGAGATGTTTTTACGTATATGACTCGCTACGTAGTCGAAAGCACAAAAAAGCTATTCAAAAGGTGGCAGAGGCTTATGCTGTGTTGATCCCCCTACTTCTAGTTAGTATTGAATTTTATAACCAAAGAAGTAACATTGTAGTAAAAAATGGTGTGCACATGGGAAAGAGTTTGACTGATCCTTTTGAGATTGAACTGATTACAAATCTGCCAACACAGCAAAATTCGTAAGAATAGTTACTTTATTTATTACTTGGTTTTCCTTATTCATATTAACATTTTCACTCCTAATTGATTTTTATATTCTATTCATTTGTTTTATTTTAGAGATTGTGGAGTATATGTTGCTTGCTTTGCTGAGTATATTATTGAAGATCTTCCAATCCCTGTTGCCAATTTTGATGTGGATGGTCTTCGAGCTAGGTTTAGTATACTGTTGTGGCACTACGGGAGGAACAAGCAGTTGCATGGCGAATCAAGTGAATCTGAGGCTCCAGTAGCACCTAAAAAGACTCGTGGAAAGAAACGCAAGAAGTAGTATAGGTCTCTTTTTGGTTTTAGTTAATCGTATCATGAAAACTTTGCAGGATTTTAATAGTTTTTGGTGAAGTATGGTATTGTTAGTAGTAAATGACCTTCTGCTGATTCAAGACTGTACGAAACTTGTGCCTTTATAAAATATTTCCAGCTGCTAATGTTTCTTTTGTTATATTTAATTATTCTGGTTCAGAATATGTGGTATAGACTTCTTCAAGTACATGGGGGTTATCAGTTTAGTTATGTCTCTTGATACTGACAATTTGCTGATTTTGTTTCTGATTTCAGCTTGTTTTATTAGGCTTTTCTTAGGCTTCTTCCATAAAGTTGTTGGTTTATTAGGATGCCGAGTTCCATTCCTTTGCCAGAGGGTAAGGTTTAATGGATTCTGCAAGTGAAAATTAGGGGCATATGAAGCAAAGTTAAATGATCTGCTTTCGAATGTGATGATGGTCTAAGCTTTAATGTACATCTGTAGTTTTAGCATAGATGGTGTATTAGTGCAGTAGAACTATATACCAATCAGGTATACTGATATACCATTTGGGTATCACATTGTATTTGACTCACCTTTTTTCCTGCAGCAACTAGATGTAAGTAGTGACATGAGTTGCAAAGCGTGCGCATTTTGGGTATCACGTTGTATCTGGTGCACCATTTGTATTTCTCCGCATATTTTGTTTTAGCCATATTAGTGCAATACCACTATATACCAGCGAGGTATACAAATATAACATTTGGGTATCACCTTGTATTAATGTACCTGATGATGTACAATAACTGCATGTAAATGGCTTCCAATTTGTTATACTTCAATACAGACATGAGTTGCAAAGCGTGCCCATTTTGTTAACAAAGTATGTACAAATGTTGCATTTGCAGCACCACTTCTATTTCTGCACATATTTTGATACTAATAAGATATACAGATATACCAATAAGGTATACAGATATACCACTTGGGTATCACATATATGTTAGCATTTTTTTCCTGCAGCAACTAGATGTAAATGCATCCCACTTTTATATACTAAAATAGATAATAAACAAATTCTTATTGAAAATACAAGTAGCCATATAAATTTGTTGCCAAGAAGTAATTTCGCAAAGAATCATCATACCAAATATATGTCTAATGCAAGAAATGCATTTTATTTCTTTGCAATTCAAATGCTATGATTCTACGATATATGAGTTCTATAAAAACATTGAATCGTTATATCAATCTCTCTTTGGAATATTTCGGCATGTTCTCCGGTTGTGTCCTTTTCTCCCGCATAATGCACATGTAACTGTATTTCCTTCCCAGCCTCCTATGCCTCTCTTCTTTTTAGGTCTTCCTGGTTTGATTTGTCCTTTTGGTGGCAGTACCACCTGCGAAGAGATATGTTCTGGAATTTGCCACGTTGTTTCATCAGGCAATGGATTTACTGGTATCTCATATGTTTTCAGCAAGTAGTCTATGTTGTAGTAATCCGAGCAATACTTGTATGAATCCATATGAAATTTTTGTATAACTGCCATTGCATGTGGACATAGAATATCGTCTAGCTGAAACCTCCCA